AGCTCGGAGTAGCGTGACAGGGTTGTTTTTTTCTATTTTTAGCGGCGCTTTCCATAAATTGTTACGTCAACCACTCTCGACAGCGACAACTTGTGGTTCTTTTAACTGAGCTCCCCGTAACTCGGGCTCACGGTGGCCATTATCTTCATGGCGGCAATGAAAGTCTCTGCGCGTGCCCTCCCTAAGACAACTGCCCTGATTCCGTCACCACTACAACTTAATCAGCTCAAAGTGATGTCACTTACAGCCCCCCCCCCCCTTTACCCAAACACACACATACCAACTCCCCTTTCCCCTCAGCTATAAAACCATATCTTTGCGTTTACATAGAACAACAATATTAGTCTCGACGCTAAAACTCGCCGATACCTTTATTGGAACAGATGATTCACGAAACCACGATGTTTCATCGCACTCTCGGTTGTGCACTTTTCTTTGACCTGAACTACTTCAAGACAGCAGTTTGTGAAGAAAGAGGTATGCTTACAACTTTTAATGAGAAAAATCAATGGCATCTACAGTCATTTAAAAATGTAATGTTTTGAAAGCAAATTTAATGGAGAGAGAAGGAAACACATTGAGAGAAGGGCCGAGCATAAAAGTCCAACTGATATATTGTACATCACAAACTTTTCTGCTGTCGCAGGCACATTTGGTTTTACTCGACGTTTGAGCGATATACGGGAATGTATTAATGGTCATTTTTCACGTCACAAACGGTTAACTTTCATATATTTTTATCTAAGGGAAAATGTTCTAGCTATGCGTGATCTAAAAATCGTAGAATATAGAAATGATTACTCTCAATGACTTTTTATATTGATTCTGACATGAGAAAAGGCGTTCGCCAAAGATTTGTGCGTGAGGCAAATAGACATATCTTGGGAGCAGCGTGTGGCTCACTGACTGCGGTTGGGCCACCCTCGCACCACAACACCGGGTCGGCCTAGGGGGGATTTAAAGACAAGTACGGCAGGCACAGAATTCGTAAAAGGACAGGGAGAGAAATAAGGTTCTCGAGACAGCAACAGCCGCCCACATTGGAGGATAGAAAAACAAACAAACAAACAAACAAACAAACAAACAAACGAACGAACAAAACAGAAACAAAATTATGATCATGTGCTCTTCACTTTGTGTGGACACTGTTTGGTAGACCTTAAACTACTCACTACTACACCTTATCAATATAATTTAAGACGAGCTGGGCCCTCTTTCGATTAAAGGAATGATCAGTGCATTAACATCAACTGAAAGTCATTGGCTTACTATATTTACACTCTACTGGAATGGAGCAATAAATCTTGAGAGATGCACAAAATTAGAAGGTTTAGATCTATACTCTCAAAACAAAATGAGCCTCGTGAAATATCACTTCCAGCACTATCGCTGTGGAGGACAGCTACGCAGATTTGTTTCTTTTCCCAGTGGAATAACCACAAAGGCCAAAGGAGGGCGGGAACTTTTGTCAAATATATTTGAGTAAATTCAGGAAATTAATAAATCAAACTTCGGGCTCTGTCATGGGGACCTATCTATCTTTTTGCATGTACTTGCCAACTTTCAACTCTGTAGCTGTCATAGTTTTAAGGGGAAAAGTGACAAATGTGTTTCCAAGTTACTAAATATATAATAGACATCACCATGGCTTACATAGAAATACCAAAGACTACTCAGACAGAGGGTCGTTTCAGTTGATAAGGCTATTTCAACCAGTTTAGGTGATTCTGCATTGTCCTTCCGGACGTCTGATGAGCAGCTCTAATGATTCACAATAGCTTTGCA